TGTTTATTTTCTTCAAAAAGCAATGTAAAATTATACCCATGCTTGTGTACTTGTGTCCTTAACGTTTGTCTTTGACATGAGACTGTGCGCTCAACCAAGGCAGCGGCCGTTCTGGTTTACTCATACAAGCACCAAGCACTTGATCCCACAAAGACAGGGGACAGAGGTGGGACCCTCTGTTGCTTAAAAACAACAACAGCAGCACTTTGCATAATATTTGTTCCTTCAGAGAACTTTCACTCCATTATCATAATAATTACACAAGATAGGTTACATTAGTAAGATAAGCATTAGAATTCCTATTTGATAGATGAAGAAAATGAGACACAAAGAATTGACTAAAATGTCAGAGTAAGGACTAAAGCCAAAATCTCTAATTTACCCATCTGCGTATCTTAACGAGTATGTGTAAATGTTCTGTCTCTTGATCAAACTTGCAGTGAGGAAGGTAACTAAATGATTAAATGCTCGGCTCCAGGGATAGACTGCTAAGGTTCCAAACCTCGATCCAACACTCAACTTGCTGTGTGACTTTGAGCAAATTACTGAACTTCCCTGAGCTTCAGTTTCTCCATCTCTAAAGTGGAAATAATAATATCTATCTGAGGAGATTGTAGTGAGGTCTTAAAGATATGCAGACACACACGCGCGTGTGCGCGCACACACACACACACTGTTAAGCATGGTGCGTGAGAAGCACTCAAAGTTAGTCATTATATGTAGTAGTCTTTTGAGAATAGTGATTACATTTCCTCCTTTCCAGTAACTCTAATAGCACAGGGCCTTTCAAGGTGATGTTTAACACAAATGCTGGATATAACCTTCTGGCAACACTGAGATTTTTGTTTTCTTGAATTTATTCTTATCTGTGAATACTGTTGCCTTTGAGGAATAGTTTTTTTAGAAGTGTAATATGTACCATTGGTGTGACCGCTCCCATGTGTAAAACCCTTTAAGACCTGATAATTAGGAGCAGACTTCTAGACGCCTGTTTTCTCTTAGTTCACTCATTGTAGAGTCTATTTTCCTGTTCTCTTTGGAAGAAGGTAATTGATATAACATGCATCCTCAAACTCCCTTTATTCTGGGATGGCTACATATACGACAGCCATGGCAGTTACTGCGACTTGACCTAATAAGGCATCGAGTTAATAGAGTAATCTCTACCCCCATAGGACAGGAAAGAAAATTATAGAGCAGCATGCAAAGGAGGCAGGTTAGTTCTCTTTACGGTGGAAGTCTAAAGAAGTTTATTAGAATGGAAAATCACATGCCCTTTGAAAAACTGCTTTATGCAGGATAAAGTGATAATTTAAAATAAGCCTACAAAAAAGAAGTAAAGGTCATGACATTTTATCTCACTTGGCTGGCCCATTTAAAAATATGTCATGCTGTAATATTTTTGTCTCCTGCAGTTATTACTATAAACAAAAAGGAATAATGGTCCCTAATGAAATTTGTGAAACATATGAGTGCAAACTTATTTTATTTTTTTAATGTTTATTTATTTATTTTGAGAAAAAGAGAAAGAGAGAGAGTGGGGGAGAGGCAGAGAGAGAGAGGGAGAGAGAATCCCAAGCAGGCTCTGTGCTGTCACAGCAGAGCCTGATGGAGGGCTTGAACCCATGAACTTCAAACCCACAAACTTCAAACTCATGAATCTTGAACCCATTAATCTTGAACCCATGAACCATGAGATCATGACTTGAGCCTAAATCAAGAGTCAGAAGCTCAACTGACTGAGCAGCCCAGGTGCCCCCATATGAGTGCAAATTTAAATGGAGGTTACCCTGGAAAGCTAACAAATGACTAACGGGTTGCAATCTGTTAGAACAGACTAAAATGTTTTGTTTAACTATGTATGGTGATGCCTCTTCCTATCTTTGTCATCATTTATTCACATTTTTATATAACTACCTGAGATATAAGTCTGTAAGAATTTGTTTAAAAGACAATAAAAACATTTTTACCTATTGTGTCTTTTACAGACTCAGTAGACTATCAACAGTATAGGACAGAATAGTTTCCGTCTTAATGTTTAATGATCTTTTCAGTTTTTATTGAAATGCTACAAATTAATCAGCTTTCATGGGTTCTCTTTTACCTATAGTCCATTTTTTTTTTTTTTTTGGAAATGATGAATTGTTTCTCCAGCATTCTCCAAAGATGGTCAATGACATTTTTCAAATGAATAGTTTGAACTTACTATTTATCCATACTTCATGGGTTTGAATTCATTACAGCTATTATTTCTTATTGTCGCTCAAATTGTTTCATCTTGGGCCAGCAGGCACATCTTCAAGTTTGCTTCGAATCATTTTGACATGATTCTATTAATCTTTGATAACTTCTTTGCTTTCTGGTAGGATAAAATAGTCCAGGTCTCAATGTGTATATATTCTACTTCAGACCTGGAATTAGCCATTTCTTCAAGAAGTTTGGTTCTTTTTTAGTACGAAACTGTATTTAGAAACTACAATCTAATTGCTCAAGGTGTCTGTTACTGAGTTAGTCATTATTTGTAGGCTTTTTCAAAAGCTACTTTAAACAAAAATTCTAATTGATTGATTTGAGGTGTGTTGTGTCTCATTCCATCATCTCACTTTAAAGTGTCTTGCTTTCCCCAAGTTCTTTGTGACTCTTCTTATGGGCTTAAACACTCATTTTTCTACCTGGGTTTTTAGAAAGTACCCTTTCCTCCTCTGAATAACATGTTTTGATTGTTGGAAATCAGTAGACTTTGAGCATACATGATTTCTTTAAAGAGTTTGTATGGCATAGTTCTAAGGGGGTGGGCATTGGAATCAGATTGCCTGGCTTTAAATACGTAATGTGGGAAATTAATTTGATGCAATGGTGATTTCCAAGCATCCTACCAGGCAAGCTATCCTAGAGTAGGTCATGGTGCGGAAAGGCTCACAGATTTAAAAAAATAAATAAAATCACAGTTTGTTGAATCATCTTAAAACATACAGCTAAAAAATGAGAGGTAAGAGATGAGATAGACTGAGACATTTATGAATGAGTTCAAGTCACACGGAGGACCATGCCACCTGAATTCTATGTTATACAATATCCACGTGGATATTCTCTCTCTCTTTCTGCCACATCAGTCTTCTAGGCTGATGGTGTGACTACAAAGACCAAATAAAGATTGAACAAGGTGCTTGGCAGGAAGGACTGAACACACTATTACTTTTTTGGGGAGAAGTACAGTCAAATTCTTTTGACCCAAAGGTGCACCTTGCCAATTAGCCTGCTAAGCAGCTGTAGATTTTATCTGCATCTCTTGGATTGAGTACATGTGGAGCCAGAGTGGGACTGAAATGGGTGTCACTAATGGATACATGATTTTGGAGATAACATTAATATGTGATAAAGATACTGTTGTTACATCTAGGGGAAATAAAACGAAAGAGATAACGAGTTTGAAACAAAGCAGGAGAGCTTGACAGTATTATTTTAGCTCTTTGGGTTGGTAGAGGAGTTGCCTCATGCTTCTGCTTCTTGGTGCTAAATCCACACAAAGAATTCAGAAGATGGTTTACAGGGTGTGCTCTTCAAAACTTGCTCCTTGGAATTTTCCTAGTTAGTGCTCCATCGGCTGAGGGAGGCTAGGGGACGACAGAGAGTGGGAGGCAGGGGTACATGGCTGTGGGGGAAACTACCACATTCACCATTACAATGACTTAATGGTTTCATGGGAAAATATGCTTTAAAAAGTAGTTGTTGAGCCACCTTAAACTGAGTCCCAAATTACATGAAAAGCTTATGGCATTGAAGACAAGCTTATCAAAGCTATTACTATGATTATCAATAAGTTCTACCCACTTTACAAAGGCTTATTTTTAAAGCATTCATTCTTTGAAAATCCCAAATGTATCCACGTAAGATGTCTCACGTTAATGAGGCTATTAGTCACAAAATTAAAATGTGAAACCTCTGAAAATGTATATGATGTACAAATTTGTGAGTAAGACAAACTTAAAACTTTTATAAGACAATTTGTAAGATATTTTAAAACATTAAGAATATTCACAAGGCTACCACTGTAACACAATTATTTTAAAATTTTGTGTGTTGCTTTTTCCTTACATAAATAATTCTTAAAGAATTATCATAATGGGGGCACCTGGGTAACTTGGTTTTGCATCCAACTCTTGATTTCGACTCAGGTCATGATCTCACAGTTCATTGGAGTGAGCACCTCTTTGGGCTCTGCACTGACAGCGTGGAGCCTGCTTGGGATTCTCTCTCTCTCTGCCCCTCGCCTGCTCATGCTCTCTCTCTCAAGAGAAATAAACATTAAAAAAGAATCTTCATAAGATATTTTCAGTTTCATGTTCTGCTTTTTCATGTTTCCAAGTTTTTCTGATTATTATTTTAATTCCTTATATTTTATTCTGTTGATGCACCATAACTTACTGATCTATTCTAATATTGTATATTTAGGTTATTCTCACTTTTTAAAACATATTATACTCAGTGCTGGAAGGAAAGCTATATGAATATTTATTTCTGCTTTGTTTCAATATTTTCTTTGGGACAAATTGTTAGAAGTGAAACCATAATAAGATACCATAAGCTTTCACTTTTGCTTTACATGGTCTTACTGTTGCCCAGGGTTTTATTATGTACATCTCTAACATGATACATAAATTAGGTAACAATGCCTGATCTATTTCAAAATGCCTATCTAGACTCCTTTAAAAACACTGTTTAGAAGTGCCTAGCTGGCTCAGTCGGTAGAGCATGCAACTCTTGATCTTGGGGTTGTGAGTTCGAGTCCCACCTTGGGAGTAGAGATTACTTAAAAATAAAATTAAAAAGAAACAAACCACTGTTCGTATTTACATATTTAAAAACCGACCCTTGAGAAGCAGACTCTAACAGTAATAAGGAACAGGGATTCTTCTCATTTACCTAAAGTGCTAAAACTAAGAATGTAATTAACTGATGTATTGAGGTTGTTTTCAGGTTTTAAAGTTTTTATTTGCATTTTTAAAAATGGTTCATTCCCATAATTAAAATCATTTGAACAAAAAAATGCTACTCTGATTAAACTGCACTTTACAGCCTGCAGGACACCTTGGACCAGCTTGGTTTTTACTCTAGATTTCATTGTGGTCCCATCCAGCTTCTTCCTTCACCAACATACATGTTCTTTTCCTTCCCAGCCAGCCAGCCAGTCAGATGGGAGAGGCAGGCGCGGCCGTGATTGTCAGTAGTTCTCCGTTCTTTAATGTGAAAAGGGGCAGCACAACCACTTAAACTTGATCCAACCCCTTTGCATCTCACAAAGTTAAACAGTTAAAAGATGTAAAATAAGAAGGCAATACTTGTGGAATGTACAGCACACACTGGAGGTACACGCTTATTATGATTTGCCTGCTGGCTTCTCTGTTCAGTCGTTTCTTTTGAGGGCAGTGGATTTTTCTCTTGCATTTCTGTCTTCTTCCGTTTCAACTTGCTGAATTTTTCAATCTCAGCCATATCAGGTTTATCAGACAGGGTTGCTCAGGAAACGGAGTGAGGCGCACGATAGAGTCAAGTCCCATCTGGGTAGGGGCCACCACGGAGTCTTAACTGATGATTTAATTGTAAGTTTTCTTCTTTCTTTGAACCTCTTGCCAGAAAAAAATATTAAAAATCACTGACATAGCATGGAGGCAGGCAGCATGAAGGACAGAATAATTTACAAATGTGGACATTATCCCAGTTTTGTGAAACGTGTTCTTTCTTCAGAAAAGAGAGATTAATTTGGGAGAGAAGTTACATCAATTACCAGAGGATTCATTGTAACAGCTCACCTTTAGCCTCCGGAGCTAGCTTTATGTTATAAGAGTGGTGGAATTCCTTCCCTCCAACTAACCAGGGTTTTTTTTAAGTTTATTTATTTATTTTGAGAGAGAGAGAGAGAGAGAGCACGAGCAGGGGAGGGGCAGAGAGAGGGAGAGAGACAGAATCCCATGCAGGTTCCACAATGTCAGTGTGGAGCCCCACGTGGGGCTGAACTCACAAATAGTGAGACGATGACCTGAGCCGAAATCAAGAGTCAGAGGCTTAACAGACTAAGCCACTCAGGTGCCCCAACTAACTGATCCTAACTAACTAAATCCTCCCAACTAACTCCCCCAACTAACTAAATCCTAACTGATTTAAACTTCTTTTTTTTTTTTTTATGTTTATTTATTTTTGAGAGAGAGAGAGAGCATGCACGAGAGGAGGGGGTAGAAACAGAGGGCGGCACAGAAGCCAAGCAGGCTCCCAGTCGAGCTCCCAGCTCTGAGCTCCGAGCTGTCAGCCCAGAGCCTCGAACTCACGAAGTGCGAGATCATGACCTGAGCCAAAGTCAGATGTTAGTTGACTGAGCCACCCAGGTTCCTCTTAACCCTAACTGATTTCACACACCTCTTTTGGGGTTATGTAAATAAGGTTCATTATATATAAAAAACACTTTTATACCAATTTTTAATTTTATATAATAAATGCACAGATATGCAGTGTATATTTTGATCCATTTTTACAAACACATAAACCTACGTAAACCATAATACCCCCAAGCCCCAGAAAGTAATTTGTACCTCCTTCTAGTTAGTCCTCTCTTTCTCCCCTAACCTGAAATAATCACCCTTCTGATTTCATTCTGATAACTGTCTTTCTAGAACTTTATATAAATGGAATCATTCAGTAGGTTTGTTTGCCTCTTTAGCTCAGCATTTAAAAAAACAGTTTACTCATATTGTTGCATGTTATCAGTAGTTCATTCCTTGCTATGCTGAGTAGTATTTCACTTTATGAATATATTATACTTTATCTGTTTTCCTGTGAACAGACATTTAGGTTGTTTCCAATGTTCTACTATTGTGAGTAAAGCTGTAATGAACATTTCATGTACAACTCATTTTGTAGACATGTGTTTTTATTTCTTTTGAGCAAATTCCTAGAAGTAGAATAGTTGGGTCATGGGATAGTATGTTTAACTTTATGAGAAAATGATCAAATCTGACAAATAAATAAGAAAAAGACAATTGTATAGAAGAATCAGGGAAAGACTTGAACAAATTTTATTACAAAAAGAGATCCAAATGGCCAATAAATATGTGAAAAGATGTTCAGTTTCATCAGTTATCAAGGCAAAGCAATTTAAAATTACAGTGTCATCTTCTATCAGATAAGAGTGTGATACATTATATATTTACCATAGTGACTGAGTTAAAAGGATGGAAAATACCAAGTATCAGTGAGCAGATGGAACACTAGAAAGAATTCTTTTATACTACCAGTGTTGAGTGATAGAAATCAGACATACAAAGGTGTGTTCTTAATGATTTTTTTATATAAAGTACAATAAACAGGCAACACTAATCTGTGGGTTTGAAATCAGCATAGATGTTACCCCTCTGTGAGAGAGAAGGTAGTGACTAAAAGGGAACATGGTGAAGCTTGGAATAGTGGTAATGCACTGTTTCTAGATCTGGGTGCTGATGACTTAGCTGTATTGGGTTCATGAAAATTTGCTGAGCTCTAAACCCATGAATCATGCATTTTTCACTATGTATATCCTTCAAAAAAAGAGTTACTAAAAAGACTACAGTGTAATATAACCACATACCCACCAGAACAGCTAAAATTAAAAAGATATAAAATAGGAGTTCCTGGGTGGCTCAGTGAGTTGAGCATCTAACTTTGGCTTGGGGTCATGATCTTGCGGTTTGTGAGTTGGAGCCCCACACTGGGCTCTGCACTGACAGTGTGGAGCCTGCTTGGGATTTTCTCTTTTAGGGAGAGAGAGAATAAATAAATAAAATAAATAAACTTTTAAAAAGTGCTTAACATTTAAACAAAGATATAAAATACTAAGTATTGGTGAAGATATGCAGCAAAAAGAATGCACAGACAATCCCTCTAGAACACTGGCAGTATCCACTAATGTGAAAAATATGTATACATACGTGTAGATGTCATTTTATGAGTATTACCCAGGAATTCCATTCCTAGGTATACATATGCAATATGTATTCAGAATGTAAACAATGGTTTAAGAATGTTCATAGCAAAAGTATCCATAATAACCAGAAGCTGGAAACTGCCCAAATATCCCTCAGTGGTAGAATGGATAAGTAAATTGTGGTATGTACACATGGCAGAATGCTACATGCCAATGAGAATGAGCATACAGCAGCTGCATGCAACAAGTAGATGAACTTCACAAACTTAAAGTTGAGAATCCAGCTATCAAAATGTATGATTCCGTTCATAAAAGTTTAAAACTAGGCAAAACTAATCTGATATCAGAAAGGAGGAAATTTAACTTAGGGAGTTTTGTGGCTGGTACCAGTAACAAGAGAGCTCTTGGGGTTGTGATAATGTTCTGCTTAATGATCTATTAGCCTCAGCAAAAATGAGAACTTCCTAGAAAGTCATCAAGCTGAACACTAATACTGTGTATGTGTGTGCTGTGAACTTCTCTGTATGTTATATTTCAATGAAAATTTACTATAAAAATTCTCAAGGAAGGAGAGGGTCCAAGATAGCTGTGTAGGAAGATCCTGAGCTCATCTTCTCTGTTTGACACCCCAAAGTTACAACTATATACAGAATAATTTTTTCCTAAAAAGACCTGAAGACTAGCAGAATAGCTCTTCCACAAGACAGGAAAGAAAGAGAGAGAGAGAGAGAGAAAGAGTGAGAAAGGAAGGAAAGAAGGAAGGAAGGAGCGAGCCATGTCAAAACAAGTAGGAGGGGCAGAAAGGTGGTCTTGTGAGGACCCCCACCCCTAGTGTAACTACCCACAAGAGGAAGGGATAGCACAAATGCACAGCTCCTCTCTGAGGAGTGAGGGTTTGAGCCCTATGTCAAGCACCCTAGCCTGTCAGATCTGGATCTTAAAAGTAAGCCCCCAAAATGACTGACTTTCAAAACCAGTAGGGCCAATGTCTGAGAAAGCTGGAGGGCTGGAGGAAGTGGAGACTCCACTCTTGAGGGCTCACACACAGACTCACTTGCTACAAGTCCCAATGCAAAAGCAGTAGTTTGACACGTGCCTGGGCCATGTGTGAGGAGACTCATTGACTAAAGGAGCAGGGGTTTGTTGGAGATCTCTCTAAAGACAGAGATGCTAGCAGGAAGCTTTGTGTTTTTTTGGGAGGAGTGGCACTTTTTTTTTGTTAAACTCTCTTTCTCCCGGCTAGGCAGTGCTGGGAGGTGCCATTTTTGGGTCTCTCGGTCTTCCTCACTAACATGGTTCACCCCATCCCAGTGTTCTCTTGAAGCTCCACCCTGCCAGACTTGGCCCACAGCTTGCCCACTGAGGCCCTCTGCCCTCCCAAGGCTAGTGGACAGGCACTCCAAAGCCAGGTGCTCCTCCACTGCTGCCTTGCCCACCAGACACAGAAGGTGCATGCACTTCACACAGAGGACACCCTTGAACATCGGGTACTCCTTGCCAGGGGGGCTGGTACAGAAACAACAAGAGAGACAGAGCTTATCAGCCTACCACCCCCAGAGCACTGCACAGACATCAGACTGAAACACACCTGCCAGTGTGTGCTTCACCTTCCAGTGACCATGCCTTCAAGACTGGGAGAGACAGCTGCTTTGTCTAATACAAAGAAACAAATATAGAAAGCCAAGAAACTTGACATGAAAACAGACACATAGACCAATGGAATAGAATAAATAACTCACAATTGGACCCACAAATGTATGGCCAACTAATCTTTGACAAAGCAGGAAAGAGTACCCAGTGGAAAAAAAAACAGCCTCTTTAACAGATGGTGCTGGGAGAACTGGACAGCAACATGCAGAAGAATGAAACGAGATCATTTTCTCACACCGTACACAAAAATAAACTCAAAACGGACAAAGGACTTGAACGTGAGATAGGAAACCATCAAAACCCTAGAGGAGAAAGCAGGAAACAACCTCCTTGACCTCCACCGCAGCAACTTCTTACTTGACATATCACCAAAGTCAAGGGAATCAAGAGCAAAAGGGAATCAAGAGCAAAAATGAACTATTGGGACCTCATCAAGATTAAAAGCTTCTGCACGGCAAAGGAAACAATCCATAAAACTAATAGGCAAATGATGGAATGGGAAAAGATAGTTGCAAATGACATATCAGATAAAGGGCTAGTATCCAAAATCTATAAGGAACTCCCAAACTCCACACCCAAAAAACAAATAATCCAGTGAAGAAATGGGCAGAAGACATGAACAGACACTTCTCCAAAGAGGACATCCAGATGGCCAACAGACACGTGAAATGATGCTCAGCGTCCCTCATCATCAGAGAAATACAAATCAAAACCACACTGAGATACCACCTCACGCCAGTCAGAGTGGTTAAAATAAACAAATCAGGAGACTGTAGATGCTGGTGAGGATGTAGAGAAACGGGCACCCTCTTGCACTGTTGGTGGGAATGTAAACTGCTGCAGCCCCTCTGGAAAACAGTGTGGGGGTTCCTCAAAAAATTAACAATAGAACTCCCCTATGACCCAGCAATGGCACTGCTAGGAATGTACCCAAGGGATACAGAAATGCTGAGGCATAGGGGCACATGGACCCCAATGTTCATAGCAGCACTCTCAACAAGAGCCAAAACATGGAAAGAGCCTAA